ATTCCTGCTCAGGAACATGGAATAAAGATTATAAAAAGCACGCCACGTGAGTCACTTGTAATGAGCAGTTAGGCTTTGTACAGTGCTTGTAACCAGCACATAGCAGCAAGTCAGCAAAGGTTAGACTGCACGAGCACTCGCAAGCAGATATAGTATCAATAGAGCATGTACAGCTTAGCGAGCATCCAAAAAATTTACTTACCCACTCATAAAATCACCAAATATGTACAGGCCATTCAGGTTTGGAGACTCACAACCCCTATAGACATAGCCTCCTGTAACAGATTTCCCCATTTTGTGTGGATAAGCATAAATTGGAAGCACATCATCTGTAGAGGGGAAAAGATACGTGGCTTGCCTTGTTTTACACATGATGCAGAACAGCTGTTTACATAGCTCTTGTGAGTCTATCATGAGACCATGAGGTTTATTTGAGCATCTTCTGATTAGATCAGCTGCTGATGGAGTCAAACTGAGCTCCATTTTCACCTTTCAGAACACTGTTCAATAGCCCCTTCCGGCCGGCTGCGCTAACCAAGGACATCCCACCTCAGACAGACTGGTCGACATTTTACTTGCAATGCAAGACAGGCCTGAGCGCTCTCGATCACCCAGACATCTAAACATTTTCCTGAGCCCTTCTCTTCCCTCTATAACCAGGCTCTACTACTGCTGCGGCCAGCCAATTTCTAAATGGCCTGGCTGGTTTTACTATGAAGCACCAAGAGCTTGTGTTTCAGCTTAACCTGAAAGAGCCATAAAATATTTATGGTACGGCACAGGCAGGATGTAGTACTGATGAACAGGGGTTCATCATAAAATGCGAGCTAAAACACTAGACAGCAGCAAAACAGAGGGAGCTGCTCTCATTGTGAAGCTCTCCACTGGGTGCATCTTCACCCCTTTGCCCTGGAAGCCTGGGGGCACACGCATCTCCCCTCAGCTCTCGCCGTGCTCCTTCCTCGCAGCGTTTCTCTCTGTCCTGTGTTTCAGACGTCTCCAACGCGAGGCTCCAGCGTGGGCCTGTCCAGTCGCGTGGCTCCCTGCACCAGGGCACGTCAGCTGAAGCAGGTGCTTTCTACACTTGCACGGCGCTTAGCATTTTAAAGGGTCTGTGACACTTCGCTTTTCTGACAAAAGGCTCTCTGAAGGCATCGGCAAACCTCCCGGATCCCTGGAGACCTCAGCAAAGTGCTTACCAGCAAGGCTAAAGGAGGCCCTGTCACGCAGGAGAGCTTTCAGTGGGCTCTCTGACAGTTGCTTCAGCAAAGGAAGTGCAAAAAATCTGCTCTGCACTCTCAACGTTTTTATGGAAAAGATCTAATCACTACCACTTTACTTACATCTAAGTTAATAAAAGGCAGGAAGTTAAACAAGATCACAGAGCACACAGAAGAGAAAAAAAACCCAGACTCTCAGTGCAAATCAGGGCCAGTCCACTGGCTTCAGCAGGTCTGTGTGGAGATACTCCAGCACGAGCTGCGGTCCACATCAGAACTTGCGACACGACACGCTTTTGCTTAGCACGAGCGCCAGAGTCCAGACAGCCAGCAAATATGCTGACTCCAAGTTTGAAAAGTAAAAAAGAAATTAAGGTTTTTCTTTCTGGCACAGCTAAAAAAGAAAAACATACTGCACATGCTGTTACCCGTACAGCAGCAGTGTGGATAGTAGCTGACCAGCTTACAGAATACATATTAAAAATACAGATATATATATTTAGATATAAGGATGTTATTTGTAAGCTAGGAAGAAAATACAAACTCTCCAAATTGCTCTTGCTTCTGCAGGAAAGTTTGCCTCACGTCAGAAAGATGAAACTGTCCCCCAAATCACAGAATCACCAGGAATATTTGACTAACGACATACATGACCCAGAAAAACAAGAGCTAGCACATTTCTTCTTTTCTCCTAACTCAAAAATGGTAACGTTTGGACTACTAATATTTTTCTCCAAGTCAGCTCTCTTCCATACTGAGACTGCACAGAGTTATATCTCAAAAATATATGTTTGCAACCAAGCAGCCAGACTTTGAAGGCAAAAATTAAAAAGGAACGTGTGGAAAACTTCCCAATGTGTGAGATAGGTAATTTAAACAGAAAGTGTATTTACCTATTGAAGAATTGGTGCAAAGTTTTTTATCGTAACAGCTGAATCCTTCCCTTGCCCTCCAGCCATAATTTTTTCCTTTCTCTACAATGTCGATTTCTTCATATTTATTCTGTCCTACGTCGCCGCAGAAAAGACGGCCTTTCCCTTCCTTTGTGTGAGGCTCGCCTCGATCGAAGGAGCAGCGCCACATGTTTCGCACTCCGTAGGCATAGATTTCAGGGCGAGCTTTTGGGTCATCGACAAAAGGGTTGTCTCGGGGGATTCTGTAAAGGGGCCCACGGTCGTTGTTGTCCACATCGATCCGCAACACTTTGCCCAACAATGTCGACCTGCATTTGGAGAATAAAGGAAGAAAAAAAGAAAGAAGGGAAATAAAACTAGACCTTGGTTAAACGCATATTCTCATTCAGAGATGGATGCTTTAAAAAGTCTAAGATTTCTTTATTTCTGCTTTGGAGAACACAAGTCTTTCAATGCGTGAGAAAAACCAACCAACCAACCTACCCACTGGAAACTATTAAGGGAATGATGCATGCGATCTGACACTAATTGTAGCTTTGTAGGACATTTAACCAGAGCAGGATCTGGGTATACAAGCTCCCACAAGCAACTTAAAAAATGACGGTCTTGATCCTGCTGACTTTCCCGCTGTAAGCACACGACCAGTTCTACTGATCTGAATAAGACCACTCACAGGAGAAAAACGAGCAAATAGCCAGAGTTGGCAGGATTGGGGCTGAAGTTAATTTACTATTCATGCAAACTGCCAGAGGGACTGTGCCCCACGCTGGAGCCTCTCTGCGTGCCAGCGCGGGTGGCAGCGGCAGGGCCAGCTCCCCCCAGAGCCCCGGCACTGGGATTAACAGGGCCGCGCACGGGGTGAGCGCGGCTCCCTTGCTCCTCCGCGCTGCCAGCGCGTGTGCCAACTGCGGCAGCGGTTTTGTGATCCAGACATTGATACATGAGCACTTGGATGAAGACCATTTCATTTGACATGGGCCACTGAGCAGCCTTCAGATGGTAATGACCTCCTCTGACTAGCTGCCTGGCAGGCTTCAACCAGTCGCTTGGAGGTGAAAGTAGGGATTGCTCCGCTGTTCCCATTTCACTGACCCCTCCATTTGCCAGAAAATCGAACTCTGAGAAAAAAGATGGAAGGTTCAGTGAGTTATTGTGTCTTGTAGGAGAAAAGAAACACTACAACAACCTCCTCCATGGAGGAGGAATTGCACGGGAGATCTACCTACACCCACGTCTGCATAAGCACCAGCAGAGGCAGCGAGAGAGACGCATGGTGCACACGAAGTTTTAGGGGGTCATACTTGTTCTGGGCATTTCCAAAGGTCCCAAAAGGATCTCCAGCCATGCCTCCATCTCCAGTAAATATATAGAGATAACCATCATCTCCAAAGAGCAGCTCTCCTCCGTTATGATTGGAAGCTGGTTCTTCCACTTCCAGGATTATCCTAATCAGAAAGAGCAACAAAGCATTATCAACTGCACACGTCCTAAGCAAAGGGTAGCGCATCAGTCTAGTGTCATCCTTGACACATGAGAATGGCTGCAGATGAAACCCAAAACATCTTTCTCCATACCCATGTTATTGAATTTTACTCAGGCATAAACGATTTTATTACCTTATGTAATTGCAACATATTTTCTAGATTACACAAACACCAAATTGTGAAATAAGGAAACTGGGAAATCACATGACAGAGTATACTTTTAAATATATTTTTCCTCTGCCTCTTCCTCCTTGCTATACTTTAAAAAAAAAAAAAGGCATTGCAGTTCAAAATCAGATTGTAAGCTACAAGAGAAAGCACTCCAGTCTATCTATGCATCTGTACAGTATTTGGCACAAATGTGACAGGCACTTTCAAGGAGATGAAGACCTCTCAAACGTTAAATAACAGTTAAATTTTTAAAGAGAAAAGATTAAAGGAGAATTATATAGAGAGTACTTTAGGAACTTGGAGAACTGTTAAAAGCAGCAGCAACAGATTAACATTTTGACAAAGGTTATTCAAAGCAGTGCCAACACTTAGCTTCATTTTGAAACCTCATTCTCCGTTACTTTCATCTGTTTATTTTATGCATCTGGCATCCCTTTCTTAGCAAGGAAAAGGTGAAATGTGGAAAGGTATGATTTCATAGAACAGGAAAGCCACCAATACACAGTGAAAATTCCCAGGCATAACAACTGAAGTTTATTTTACTCTGGTCTTTTTAAAAAGACCAGTTTTCATGCTGGAAGTGCCTCTTAATATCCCTAAAAATAACTGTTTATAATCACGTATAACACTTCACCTTCAGAGAGCTTGTCTCCTTGTGAAAGTACTGATAGTTACAATCCCAAAACATTGTAAAATGCAGAAATGAAATCGGTAACATTATTCTGTCCCCTGCCTCTAAACTTTATCACTTCTGAAATAAGGTCGCTGTGCAAGAGCACACAGAGACTGCAGCTGCAAGGCAGGATCCCGTGAAGAGCAGAAACTGGAGTTCTCCTCAATCTCCCAAAGACGGAAAAAAGCAGAAGACATTTAGTAAAAATCTGCAGGCACGCAGACAGGGGCCTTCCTGCTCGTGCAAGCTGCGCTAAGCGTCAGGCCGAAGCGCCCCACTGGAGAGCGTTTCAGATGAAGTCAGCGGGAGCCATGCCTATACAAGCAAAACAGGACCATGGTTTTGTTTTTTCAAGCTTTTGCTGTACTGAGGATCAGCTAAACAAGTACAGGAAATGTTACAATTGCAGAACCTGATAATTTTCAAACAAGACAGCGCAGGGACCTACGCAACAGCAGCTTTAAGCTCCAGACTCATTTCCTGAGGAACACATTAAAATTCTCTTTACCTGCCAAGGACAATGCTACTTGCACCAAACTGCTATAACTGCTATGCAGACCAGCATCCCCCTTCTGTCATCAGGCTATGTGCATCTTTCAGCTAGAATCATCCACTGCTCCGTATCTGGAAAGTACCTAATACGCCCTGTGTAACACCGTTAACAGTCTTTAAATTAATACTATTCAAGGTTTTCTTAAAACAGTGGATTTGTGATTCTGTAACAGGTTATAAATCTATAAGCTATCTCTACATACACACTTCTAATTATCTGTGCATGCTAATGTGGATGAACTGCAGGATCAGACTCATTAACTCAGAACCTGGACAAATTTAAAAACAGGGAGAGCTATATTTCAAAAAAGTGCACATAAATGCTTAGGTTGTGCCTCAATCCAGCTGTGCAACTCTAAACCACATTAAATATGGTACACCGACACGACAAAGATGCCCCATTTTAGAACATGTTAGCCCCATGTTAGGATGACTCACTTCACTATAAAGCAAAATTTTAATCTCACTAAATGCAAAATGTATTTTTGCTTGCATTCTGCAAGTTTGCCAAAAGTTTTGTAATTGCTGTTTTACTGTGATTACTGTAATAGTGCATATGAATTTGGTGCATGTGTTGCACAGGATCTCACACAGGTGTTTCTTGGGACAGCGCACAGAAACACAGTTCCAAGGGCACGGCTTGCCCAGCGCTGGGCGCGCTCGGACAGGAGCCAGAAGTGGCTCTGTTCTTCCTCAGCATGGCCCTTCTCTTCAACATTTCAGTTATTGAAAGGTGCAGAGAAAGGAGAAAACTTTGGTTTAGAGGGGAACGTTGGAAGAGAGCTGGTTAATGAAAGCAGATGTATCCCAAACACAGACACAGACCTACATGAGGCACTATCAGAAGGAAACCCCTTCCACATCAATAACTGCAAGACCCTGGGTGGATGGGGAAAGAGAAGTTTATGTTTGATGATCAGAAATAGAAAGGAAGAATATTTTCCAGAGGTGGCCACTGAAGAAATTCTGAACTGGAAATAATTTTTGTCCTCATAAATGCAGATACATTAAGCTTATGAACATCAGATAGTTGTCCCCAACAGTGTTATTATAGCAAATGCAAGGCAAAAAAAAAAAAAAAAAAAAGAAAAGAATTTTCCAATCAAAATGCACTCCGTAATGTCATAATGATGTGAATTTTCTTTAATATGATATTAAATTTGTAATATCATCGGGCCGAGCTGCCATTCAGATGAAAAAAATGTGGGGCCAAATCCATCTTTGGGGTAGCATACTTCACTATATTTATATTGGTTTGGGAAATCTTTTGCTATGGACAAATTTGACTAATGCTTTGCAGAAATCTATTTTAATGAGTAATCAACATTCTCATTACGACATAAAAAAATCTAGAAAATAAACAAACCTCAATATTAACTGTAAATAATGTTCAAACAAAGTTCAGTTAAAGCTTCTGAAATACTGTAAATGAGAAATGTAAGTGTTTTCTTCCTGAGCACTCGCAGTTCATTCACAGAGGACACGCATATTCTCTAACTTAATATGCTCCATAATACAGAGCATCAGCCCTGGGAATGGAGCTTTGATTTTCTAGTCTAGCTTTATAAATTCAGAATTTCAGTCATGATGTATCTGTGTATTTTGTCCTTTTTTCTGCCCTGCATTTTGCACCACTTCCAGTGGACGTGGACTTGGATTAACTTGCTAACACATGAGAATACAAGAACGATATGAAGCCAAATAAGTCTCATTCACTGTAGTTAGTAGTCTTTAAAAATGCACAAGCTGTCCTCTGAGATTTTAAATACATTTGTCAGATAAATGTGTGTACAATACCTTTCAGAACCATGGTCCAAAGTATTCATGTCACCAGGAGAAATTCTGAACTCACTGATTCGGATTCTCTCTTCATAACGAACTTCAACTGAATAGTAGACATACACTTTACCATTAAATTTGAATTTAGGATGGAAGACAATACCTAGAAAACCTCTCTCGTCTCCTTCCCAAGGTGAGGTGAGCACAGCTTCACTGACATTCAGAAATGGCTTTTCGAGCCTCGATAGATCGGGGAGGTAGGTCCACACCAGGCCAACCTGCTCGGCAACGAAGAAGCGGTGGGTGCCATCGTTTGCATGCACCATCGCAACAGGGTTGCGCAGCCCGTTGGCCACCTCCACCAGGCAGAGCTGGAGACAGCCCTCGGCATTGGCAGTCACGAATCCCAGGTTTTGGTTGAGATTCTCATTAACTAGGAGGTGAGGAAAGCAGTAGTCTACGTCTTCCAAGGACAAATAGCGGCAGAATTTGGCCATGTTGTGCTCCAGGGCGATTAACTCTTTGTCCGTGGAGAGATAGCGGAAAATGGACCTGCATTTTTGCCAGACTTGCACACAGTAGTCTTGGCAAAGACCTGGGATCGTCCGCACAGGAGTGGAGGGATCCTCGGCGTCGTACAAGTGGGCTGCGTATGGAGAGCACTCCTAGAAGGAGAGAGGAAAAATCCTCAGGCCATTTTTTTGGAACAGATTTGAAATAGCTGAACAGCAACACTAATTGGAGAAATTTCACCTTAATCACAACATATATTGCGGTTTATTCTGAAAATATATTATCAGAGGAAAAGCTTAGAAGAGGGGTTTATCTCAGTATATATGGAAGTGATCATCAATATTCCCGGTGAAAGCTGGCTTCCATGTGCGGGTATTCATTTATTCAAACCATAGCCCTGACCTCGAGAAAACCAGACCAATGCTAACATGTATCTCGCTCCATCACCTTGTACTGGGGGGAGAGAGGTTTTTCCCTCCTGGATGATCTGCTTGCTCATAGACAAAGAGCAGACT